ACGGCCACACAGCCCGGAAGACCCACACCAGCCATCGTATGCCGGCCGTGAAAGCCTTCGACAATACATAGGAGATGCTTGATAACACAAGGTGCCTAATGCAAAGGCTGTGGACATTATTTTCTGCCTTGATAGTCAGAGTAGCATAGTGATTAAGGTGTTGCATTTAATCCACATTGAAGTCCCCATTGAATCATGGAGTTCCCTGGATGACTTTGGGTCAGCCTCTTTCCAACCAATTTACTACATAGGATTATTATAGGATTTATTATTATTATTTATATATTTATATTATATATAAAATCAGAGAAGTCCCTTGAATGCCACCCTAAGTTCTCAGAAAAAAGGCTGAATATAAAAGAAGGGAAAATATAACATGAATAAAATACAATATAATGTAATGTAATGAAACTACTTTCATTCACTTTAAAGGTGTAAGCAATGTACAAATATTACTAAGAAACAAAAACTAAATATGGGTAGTCCTTGCTTAATGACCCTAACTGGAACCCAAATTTCTATTGCTAAGCAAAGTGGTCAGTAGGTGAAACAGCAGGTGACCGCACTGCTTAGTGACAGCAGTTCCAGTAGTCCTGGTTATGGTTGTTAGGCGAGGACCATGCCATTGTTAGGCAAGGACCTCATACTTCTCCTGCCCTGCTGCGCTTGCCTCCACTTTAACTCCTCACATCCACCTTTCTCCCCTCCCATCTCTGTCCTTTTGGCTGCCATTTACTCTGCTGTCACCACCTTTCCCTGCCGCCCCCAGCTGACCTTCTCTGTCTTCTTCCTCCTGTTGCTGACAAGGCACAGCCGCCCAAGGCTGCTGCTGGCCCTTTGTGAGGCTGCGCGAGGGCTCCACAACCCTGTGCAAGGCCCCTCCAAAGCTTTGCAAGGTCTTTGCGTGGCTTCACGAGGCAACAGGCAGCATCACAGAGGCCTTGCCAAGGGCCAGCAGCTGCCTCAGTCGGGTGTGCCTCTTCAGCAGTGGGAGGAGGAAGACAGTGAAGGTCAGCTGGGGCAAGATGGGCGGCGAAGTGCAGGGCAGCCAAAAGGGCAGAGACTGGGGGGAGATAGGCAAGTGGTGGGAGCTGAAGCATACACTGCAGTCATAAATGCAGGAGGGCTGCCAAGCACCCGAATTTTGATCACATGACCACGGGGCACTGCAACAGCTGTAACTTCGAGGACCAGTTGTAACTACCATTTGTTCAGTGCCGTTGTAACTTCAAATGTTCACTGAACAAATGGTCATTAAACAAAGACTAACTGTAGGTTGCTCTATTAATTTTTTCCTTTCCTTTCCATGCTTAATTTCTGACTCAGACTGTTTTAAATGGTACCATTCTATATTTCAGACATGTTACTTACTAACCCTAACCCTAACCCTATTTTCCCCATCTTTTTTTAGAGTGAGTTATTTATGATTGGTTGGGAACACATTTGATTTCACACAGTAATTTTTCTCCATAGCTCCGTGTGGCTCAACAATAGCCTATCCTGGCTTGTCTAGATTTTAAGTTCTCGTGTCATCTAGCAGTGACTTTCACCCATTGCTAGAAAAAGAAACAAACCTAAAACAAGTCATGAGTTATTTTAGGTTTGTTTATCAGAAGTTTAACATGATCAGAAGTCACTGCCAGAAAGCACCTTAAACTTTAAACAAGCTGTTGGTGAGCTATATAGGGATGTGGAATGGATCCAATACTCATGATCAGACATGTTCACAAGAATCCATAAATTATGCTTTAAGCGATCATTTCCTTTAGAGTAGTAGTTAATCAAACCACTATTAATCTTTGTTCCAACTCTTCAGTAAGCATTCTTATCATACATTTCTACATGGAAAGAACCACCTACCTTTTCTTTTAATCACTTCAAGTTCCTGTTCAATTTGTAGACAGACTGACTGTGTAAGTTCAAATGATATTTTTTGAAAAGCATCAAAATCTTCCACTGTGTAGACATGGGTGTCGGCAGGGGGTGTAGCAATTGCTTCCAACTCAGACCGTACTGCATCCTTAATACCAACTGCAAATATTTCTACATTTGCATTCCTCAGTTTTATGGCAGGTTCTTTAAAAGCATCGGATGATTTTCCATCAGTAATAAGAATCATGACTCTTGCAACATTTGGTCTTGCACCTTTGTTCGTGATGAAGACTTTTTCTCTTACATAGGTCATAGCTTTGCCTGTGTTTGTAGATCCACCTCTGTAGGGGAAGGTGTTAATAGCTCGAATTACGTCTTCTATTCTGTTGAATTTGTTCAAATGAAATTCCGTATATGGATCCCTGCTGTACTGCACAAGGCTTATTTGAACTTTTTCGGGTGAAATCTCAAAGCTTTTAACTAACACTTCCAAAAATGCTTTTACTTTAGCAAAATTGGCAATACCAATACTGTAGGAGCCATCAACCAAAAGCACAATATCAGCTTTTACATCTATTCCTTTTGCGCATTCTGTAAAAAGAAATATGGATATTCAGTATTTATATAACATTTTAGGGAAAAAATGCAACATTTGCTTCTTTCACTGCAACATTGTTTTCTTTAGCTCTTCATATGTCACTGATTGTATTCCATTAAAATTACAGTGCTACTGTAAATACATATTTCTTTTGACATGTTAACCACTTTGATTTTTCTGGAAAGTAGCAGTATATAATTAGGTATTACTGTTTATTAGAAAGTAAGAACTCTTAAATTATGTGATGCATCAATATATTCTAACATCCTGTCTCCAATAGTGCAGAATTAGATCAATGAAGAAAAACCCACAAGAGAAGACATCACAGCCCAACTCGTAGACACAACCTATGCCCCTTTCCTATACAGTAGTTTGTAGGACTGCACATCAGTCTGGATTCAAAGGGGAAAAGGAGATTTGGAGCAGATGTGGGTATGTGCATAGCATCTGTCAGAACCTCCTTAAACTTAAGGCATGTTTTCCTGGAACTGGACAGCAACTACCATGCAAAGCTAAGAAAAAATGCAGCTTCTGTAAGGTGTTGCCAACAGGTGCTTTATGAGTAGCCCCACAGGCTCCAAATCAGCTTTTCACCTTCAAATCTTGTTCACTGCACATGCCTTTATGCATAGCAACAGGATTTAACAGTTGGCAGTCTTATAAGTTTCTACTGAAGTTGAACCTGCATATCCTTTCAAAGATGCAGCCACTTGTGAACCTTTTTACAGCTGATAAAGCTGATCAAGGCTGGGATTTGATAATAGGAGACAGAAGACCTTTTAATTGTTTGGTTGTTTCATCTCCATTTCGGCCTGGACCCTTCATAATTAAGTAATTCCATTTGTGGGCATATGTCACTTTGCATTGCCAAAAAGTAATCCACTGTTATAATGAGATCACATTTTTACAATATATAAGAGGCCTGATCCGGAACAGGGGTGCAGTAGAGTGCCAAACAGTTTAAACTTAGACTCTCAATTAAGTTCTCTGATCTTACTGTAAAGTAAATAATCAAAAGGAAGTCCTATTTATTTTTATTTATCTTACACTTTTCTACCCACTGCAATCAAAAGACTCTTGGCAGCCTCCATGTAATGTGAGCTGGTATTAGGCAGCACAGTCCTAAATATCTCTGTTCAAAAGTAAGACTGAGTTCAGTTGGATTCTCTTAAGATATAACTGAACACGTGCTAAACTTTTCAGTAGGCCTTAAATTAATTCTTACAAAAATATGCCTATTTATCTCCTGGATGTATTTCGATAAGTTGGTTTTAAGCTAAGAAGTTACAGTTATATTGTTATGATTTGCTTTGCAGAAGTATCTCTTTGCATTTTGTTGAGTCAGGTCCTTTTTTTTTTTTTTTTGGTGCCTCCAAATCAGTTTTGACTCCTAGTGACTACATGCACACAAGTCCAGGCAGTTTGTTTGCCATTGCCTTCCTCCTATGACTAAGAAAAACTGACTGGTTCAAAGTCACCCAGCTGGCTTCCATATCAAAGGCAGAACTGAAATTTGGGTTTCTTTGTTCCTAGCCCTGCACCTTAACCCCTAGATCAGACCAATTCTGATTACACTAGTATCCTCATGCTTTTGTCAGAGAAAATTATTTATTCCTTTAAATAAAGGCCTGAGGGATTTTTAGTTAGTTCTCAGCTTTCAGAATCACTTTCAGTCAAGCTGCATAGCAGCCTTTTATCAGTTGCATGTGACTTATAGAGGGACTCTAAGGGTCTGTTTCTTTCTTTCCGACACCAGCTTCCTTGTGAGTAAGCCACAGTACCAGAGTATGAGTGCCTGCAGACCTAGTGCCTGCTAAGCATAAAGGCTGCTCTGAAGAAAGGGTAGGTGTGGGAGGTTGAGAAGAAGGTTGTAGGAGATGGTGGCTGCTAAAGATGACAAAGAAAAGCCTGCAGAGAACACAACTGCTGCATTTGCCTTATCAGGCCTGTATGAACAAACTCCCCCACCCCTCTATGCTGCCTGGCTGGGACCCAGCTCATTGCCCAGGCAGAGAAGAGGTTCCTCATGCAGGAAAGTCTTTCTCGCAGAGAACGAAGGGGCCAGAAGCTTTTCAAGTAAGGAGTTGCCTATATGCTCATATCCAAAGCTGACAAGTTTATTGAAACTGTTGGTGTGAGAACAGGAGAACAAGCCTCAAACTGTTGCTGCCAGACCTGTTTAATTCCTTGGTTTGATATTTTATTTTGAGAATTATTTTGAGTTCTTGGTTTGGACTGCTGAGACTCTAAAGGGTCTGCTTTTGTTCACAACCCCTGTCCCTGGATGCTCAAGGGACTAGGGGAACAAATTTCAGCAGGTTCTCTACATCTTTGGAGAGTCCAGTGTTTGTTTTCTGTTACTCACTGGTCAACTCCCCATCTCTCTGTCTACAAGGGTCTCTGCCACACTCTGTTTGGTTCTATTTCTTTCTTTCCAGTCTAAATCAGACTGGACTAGGAGATGTTCTGTAGCTAGAGGAAAATAAGGGGCAGAGATAACAGCCAATCAGCCCCATTAAAGTGCTTTCAAAAGAGTCTTAAATTTGTGTATAGAAGGGGCCCACACATGGGTCTTTCTTACAGCCCAAACTGATATCACCAAGGGCAGTTCACAGTGACCAGCAGAAAGATGGCGTGCCTACAGCAGGCTAAAATGGCCAAGAGGTTCTGGGCAGATCCCAATCCCTGACTTTGTAACCACATTGTCAGCGAAGTGTGCAGCTAGGAGGGGAAAGACTTTTTAAAAACAGAGCAGCTAAAGATAGCTTCAAGCTGCCCCAACTGTGACCTTGGGTGAGATGAAAGCAACATCATGAGGACATGGCACAGAAAACCAGTTATGGGGATATATTTGCATCATAATTAGAGGGATGTGAGAAAGAGCCCTAAGTTTCCTGACAGTATTTATCCTTACTTCAAATATAGGTTGGGCCTTGATTTATTCTTTATCCATCTGTGTATATTCTTTTTTATTTAATCCAATACCATCATTACTTCTTGTGGGAATCAATTCCATAAATTAATTATAATATATATATTAATTTATTAAAGATTAATTTACCTTCAATATTTTTTACACTGATCCTTTTTGACCCTAAACACTTTTTTTACTTGCTACCATAACAGTTTGGGTGTAAGCCTCAACTTGCTATGCAAGAATGAATGTGTGCTTTTATCCAAGAATGGAGTTGTCCGTCCATGGTGTAGAGGGTTTGATTTATTACTTATGCTGGATTTCAAAATGTTGGATCTCAAAAGCTTCTATCCACTTATCAAAAAAAACATACAAGTAACAAGATTTTAAAAAATGTTCTATTTTTCACTGTAGCATTTTGGTTTTATATGATTCAGCCATTGACATACAATAGATCATTTCAATGACAATGACTCACCAGTTCGAACTTTTACTGGCTGTGTTTTTTCCATTATAGTCACTGGTTCACTGGCAGTCAGTCCTTTCATGGCATACACATTAATTTGGTATTCTGTGTCTGCTAAAAGATCTCTTATATTAAAAGCAGTAGTTTGAGGTCCTACGTTCACTGAGAATTGGTTGGCATCAGGTATCATTGGTATAACGTCCACCTTGTAACCAGTTATGTCACTAGGAGATGGATCCCAAGTGATTTTGATTGATCGCGATAAAGGCTGTGTAGCTTCCAGATTTGAAGGAGGTTCTATAGCTGTAAAATGAACAAAACTGTAGCTGTAAATATGTCCTTTTGAGCAAAGAGATTAATGCCTAAATATACTACCCACATCTCCAAAGAATAGCTTGTGGGTAAATACTGAAGCAAATTATATCATTTTTCCAGACAACCTGATTATAGACTTTATCTATGAGCTGAATGAAGGTTACTAATAAATGTGGACAGAGTTATGAATATTTACTGTCCTATACACATGGAATGATAATGGAACATCACAGATAGTGAAAAAGAAGTAAATCTCTCTATATTTATTCAGAAGTTAGCAATGCTGACTTCAGTGGAAGTTATTCCCAAGTAAATAATCTTGACTACAGGAATGCATTAACACGGCTTTATGAGAGTTCAATTAAATACAGTGGGGCTTACTTCTGAGCAGATATGTATGGGATTGCAATGTAAAAATATTAGGTTCTCACTGGCCTCTTTGCATAATTAGAAGGAAACCCCTTATAATTATGTTTAGTTGCTGCTGCATAGCTTTCTAAATGAGTATAGAGTTGGAAACTGAGGATACAAATTCCAGAAAGAAACAAAAATCTTAAATGAATCTCAGTATTCCAACTGGATATTTTCAGAGAAACAGTGATATTTATCCAGACTTCTTTCTTCTTTTTTCGCTAGCTGACAGGCCAGAATTCAAAGGATCATACAATAATAACTAAGCAACATAAACGTATTTGGCTAACAGCAATCTCTATGCTACAGGATAAATTGCTTTTCTCCTTTATTGATTATTCTGTTTAAGGACTCATAGCAATTTACAGCAATCCAATATGATATGCAGCAAATTAAAACATCTATCATAAATATCATTTACATCCAAATTGTAAACAATATAGAACAATAATAAATAACACAGCCAAAATACAAGACAAAATAGAACACAATATTTAAGCAGCTAACTAGTCACCAAATATTCTATGGGGAAAAAATTCCATTGTAAGCAGCTTCTGGAACATTAAGAGAAATAATATAAATCTTTGCTTTTTATTATTTTTTTTATTTTTATTTAATCAATTTATATGGCCACTCATCTTGCAATAGCAACTCTGGGTAATTACCATAAGGTTAAAAACTCATGTACAATAAGCAGCAATATACCTAATGGCAATTGAGGACAATATAAATCATCAGCAGATAACACATCAATCTCGCAGACAGTTAACCTTCCATGCCCAGGAAAACAATCATGTTTTTAAAGCTTTCTGAAATGCCAGCAGAGTTTGGGCCAACCAAATCTCAGGGGGGTATGATATTCTAGAGAGCAGGCATTGAAGCAGAAAAGACACACTTCCAAGGTCCCAGTAGATAGCATTGTTTAACAGACAAAATCTAGAGCACAACCCTTCTGTCGGACCTAATGGGACAAGCAGAAATAATCAGAAAGGCAGTCCTGAAAATAACCCAGCCGCATGCCATGAAGGTCTTTCTAGGTAACAATCAGCACCTTGAATTGTACCGGAAACATACTAGGAGCCAGTGCAATTCTCAGAGCACACACATAACACTAGCGTACTGAAGTGCACTAATAACCTCTCATGCTGCCACATTCTGGACCAATTACAGCTTCTGGATGTTCTTAAAGGGCAGCCCTGTGTAGAGAGTATTGCAGTAATCCACTCAGAAGGCAACTAAATTACCATGAGCAGTGCTTCCCAATCTGGGAACAGGCACAACCACAGCACAAGATGAAGTTGTGCAAAAGCCTAAATAGGAAAGACTGGACACAGTACAAAAATTGTCCAGTATGGTTGGGTTCATTGATGGTTTGCTTAATGGCACTATGGTCAGAGGTCAACTGAAGAAACCAACCAACCACTGAGCATGATAAACTAGTTTCAAAACTAGTCAAGGCAAAAAACTAATTTGAGTTAATTTAAAATTAAAATAAGTAATATGATTATTCTTACTGTATTTAATTATTTTCCCCTTCTGTATTATTAAAAATTACAATTGGTACTAAATTCTGAAGTGACTCTGGGGGCTACCTTTATGTATTTTAGGAACTTCAGGCAGCCTTGAAGCCTCAAGCTGTATGTTACTGAGCTTTCAAAAGTGGCTTTATGGCAGAGCAAATCCCCATTGTCTTGTTAACCAGAAATGTCAGTCAGGAAATGAACCTGAGACTTTTTCCTTCCCATTATTACAGCTGCATATTTATCCAAGGATGAAGTTAATTACTGAGAGACTTTAAAAAGTGTTTTACCTTCTTCTCCGCTAACCAAGTCACCCAACTGTTCATCAACTCCTGAGCACACCTGTGAGACAATTTCATTCTGAATATCCACAATGCCATCGAAGTTGGCCACATTAAAAACATGCTTCAGTGAGGGCTGGGATGCAATTAACTTCAGCTCTTTGGCATCTGCAGCTTTGATTCCTGGAAAATGGTAGCAATAACAACATTAAACAAGTTTGTCCAATCATGCTGCACATAACCATTCTTGTATTTGAGAATTTCAAATAGCTAATTGTGGTAGGAGATCCAAATCATTTCAATGACTTCTAATGAATTCTGAGATAGGAAACCTGGCTTCATTTCCCACTTCTGTCTTTTTCATACATTACTCTTGACATAATGAAAGCCTTCTGCATCAACACTTCAAACTACCTGTCATTACTGAGATAGAAAGAGAATGTCCACTTCTCTTCTTTTCTCAGTTTGACTATGTGGTGATTTATACTGTGAGATGAAATGACCTCTGACTGCTCTCCCTCTTTCAGCACGCAGATTGTTAGACACAGCATGTTCTTCTCTGTATTGTACATGGACATACACAGCCATGCAGCAATGGAACTGTATTGTGTCAGCATTATAGCAAATCTGCATGGCAGATCAAGAGAATAGTGCAATCATAGAGAAACACATTTATTTGCATCTTGGACAATCAAGTTTATACTATTTATTCAGCAAAGCAATATTTTAAAGCATTGTACTTTTGTTGATGTTATTGAAATTGTAGAAAATAAAAGTGATTTGGAGATTATTTTAATCTCTATGAAGTAATATTACAACAATTTATGGTATAGCTGGCATTCTACAAGCATGTTGCCACTAAATTAAAGAACCTAATCTAATCACCTATAATTTGCATAGGGGAAGTACATTTATATAACAAACAACTACACAGCTTTAAATTTTTCTCTGTGAATAAATTAGCAGCAGCAGCAACAATATAAAATTTAATATACCCAAAGAAAAGACTTCAACTCCAGTGCTACGAAGTTCTCTTGCAGGAATTTCTACTTCATCCTGAGACTTTCCATCCGTAATGATAATTGCCACTTTGGGAAAGCCTTTTCTTGCTCCAGCAGACTCAATAAATGCATTTCGAATCAGATAATCAATAGCTTCCCCTAAAATTACAAAATAAATTGTGATTTTTTTTAACCATTAATGTTCAGATCAAATTATAAAATCATGTAAGAGAGCACCATCCACCAAGAAAGAGAAAGTGGCAGATATCTGATTATCATTCAGGCTTTCTACATTATCAGCTGGAAGTTCATACCTGTCATTGTATTGCCTCCTTTATATGGTATTCTTCTTATCGCCTCAATAAGATCCCTTTTTCTGAAATACTGATTTAAATTGAATTCAGTCCTTGTATCAGTACTGTACTGGACTATTCCAACTCTTGTCTTATCTTCTCCAATATCAAAAGCTGATACAAGAGTAACGATGAAGTCCAATATATATCTAAAGTTATTTCTGCCCACACTCCAAGAGCCATCCACAAGAAAAACTAGATCTGTAACAGCACTAATGGAACACTCTGAAACATAATGGAACAGAACCATTAATTACACTTCACATATGCAACCATACATTATAAATGTATAATTTATTTGGGGTCCATGTGTGTGAATTAGATAGCTAGAAGATATTTGTTTGTTTGTTTGTTTGTTTGGCAAGATTTTTGGTTTGCCCTTGCTTGCTTCCTAGGGCTAAGGTCACCTAGCTGGCTTTGTGCCTAAGGCAGGACTAGAACTCACAGTCTCCCACTTTCTAGCCTGATGCTTTAACCACAACACCAAACTGGCTCTAGATAGAAGATAGCTAGATAACAATATGCATACGTTCCAACTTATGTAAAAGGTCCAATAATCCAGTGGACATTCACTCTCACAAAAAAGGAAGCTAATTTCCCCTGCCTCTTGCAGCCAACCCTTTAAGGGGGTCCTAGAATTTTCAGTGGGTGCAGGGGACTGAATATAAGGGGAAATAATGACTTTGGGCAGCTTACATGACATAAAAAACACAATACAGAAATAAACATCAAAAGATATGAATGTACAAGCTCAAAAGGGAAGCAGAGAACAAACCTAATCAACAACAAAATAACAGTATCTCATGGGTTTTAAGCAAACCACCTGCCCCATGCCCAGGATAATGCACATATGTGTCTCTTATTACATGAGTAAGGTAAAGGCGGTACATTTGTTAACCCTTTGTAATTGGAATCAGGCTCCAGCCTGTTCATTGACAGAAGGGTTCCTCTGAATCAAATTACAAATGGTTGGCATGTCTCCTGAGCCAAGCAAAAGTCTCACTGTTGTTCATAGTGTGGACATAGGTGGATCAAAGGATAAAATAAGTAAGGGAGAAAGGGAAAGAATACATTTGAAAGTGCCCAAAGCATGGGCAACAAAAGCTTTTAATAAAATAAAAGTTAACTTCCTTGGCCATCAAGAACAATCCATGAACCAAAGGGTGATACACATAAATTTTATATACTGCAGGATTTACATGAGATGGAAAGGGATCTTTTGTTTCATTCTCTTCCAATGTGGTACTTTCATATTTGTTGGACTTTAACTCCTAGATTTCCCAGCCAGAACAATGAGAATTATGGGAATTGAAAGAAAGCATACCTAAAGGGTGCCAGGCTTTAAAAAAATATGCTTTTTTTCCCCAGCCAGTAAAGATGCATTGTGAAGAGCCAAAACACATTTGTGCATCCTTAGGCAGTTTGGCTTTTGGCTATGCTGGCTTAGAAATAGATGCCTTGTTTTATTATATACCAGTAGCAACATAACAAAATTACTTACTTTGCAAATGAACTTCTTCAGTCTTCTTTTCTCTAGTTGTTACAAAGCCATCTGTTTGAACTAGAACAACAGAAGAGACAGGTTAATAAAGAACCAAAAACATTTCTTATAGGAATCTAAGGGTTGCTTTTCATTCATCTACTTTCTCCTCATTACAGGATATATTTGCAAGCCTGTTATGGTGGGAAATGAGTTGGCAAACAGGGGCATGTCATATTTAATTGGATCATTGTTTTTAATACCCAGCTCTCTTCTAAAGCCATAAGAAATTTAGACAATATATTGATGATGCCATTTGTGTAATGAGTTCATTGGAAGCAATAATTTTCTAAAGTGGAAAACTACTTTCTATGGATCTCTGAAAGTATAATGGGAGAAGAAAATGTTTAAATAAAACCTCAAATTATATACAAATACTACTACTACTATCATCATCATCACATGGAAAGGAATTATTGCTGATTTTTGAAATCTACATTCAGCATATTTATTTGCTAATTAAAACAAATTAAGTCCAACCTTAAAAGATAGAAGCCAAACCTCTACATATACAAATATATCTTTGTAGCAGTATTATAACTATATTCCAAGCTACATCTGGGTTAATTATGCAGACTTACTTGTAAGTTGTCCAGAGACAGGCATACTTTCTTCTACATTATTATATGAACTTATTGTTACAACATATTCAGTATCAGGTATGAGGTCCGTTAACAAAGTTTGGGTAGCTGTACGTGCTAAGGTAAATTCTCTACTTGGTCCATCTGCAATTACATAAATAGAACACAGCAGAATTTCTAAGTTATATATTAACCATTTATCATTCAAAAGTTACATATCAAGAAACAAATGTTAAAAACTCACGAACATTTGATTTCCTGAAAGAGCTAGCAATAACATGTTTGTGGTGCACATACTTTGAGCATCTTTCTGCAAAAAATGGATAAACTATTCTCATGTTGGCAAGTAGCCATTCAGGTAAAGTTCTTATCCTATCTCCATGATTATATCTTAGGGCAAAGAAGCTAAATTCCATGGGGAAACTAGGAAGTCTTTAAGGTCCTGAAATATCTTTTTTTTTAAATCATAGCTTTAAGAACCTTGAACAGTAAAACAAAATAAAAACAACAGCAAAAAGAATTGCCTATAGAATATGCCTCATTAAATGACAATATCCTGAGGCTATTGATCAAGCATATTTAGGCCTTGAATTCAACTGCCACAATACACAGCATGATCTGGTTCACACATCTGATACACATACTGAATAAACCAGAATTAGCCGGGTTCACAGAATACATTATATATGGTTTACAAAATAGAATGGCTGGGTTCACACAATACGTTTAGCCAAAGCCAAACAAACCAAATTAGAACATAGTGATGCCTAAAACCAGCATTCCATCCACTAAATATATTGTTGTTACTAGTTACTTAGGCAGATGTGAAAAAAAAGAAGGGAGTTATTAACATGCAAGAAAAATAAGGCCATTTAAACAGTTTGAAAAAGGAATTAATAGAGGATAGAGGAGGTTAAAAAAAGAGGGGGAAATGTTCCCAAAAAATGCCTCACAGGTTATTACAACCCATGGTAGGGGGTTTTTTCATATAGTACTATGCATTACAGACATTGTAGTATAATAGTTATAGTGCTGGATTTAAACTCGGGTGATTCAGGTTCAAGTTCCTACTCGGCTACAGAGCTCACTGGTTTTTGTCATGTGGATACAATTAGGGAAAGCCCCCACTGAAGCTGCCTTAGCAATCAAAGATAAGACAATACAAAAATGCAATAAATATCTGCAAGGGTACACATGATAAAACATGCATTGTGATAGAAAAGCCATTCCTTTCATACTTGCATCATGATGTCAGATGCAAGTACATAAGGGGCAGAGGTTAAACAAGTTTTTTCATGTTGACAAAATTTCAGCTTGGTGAAGTCACTTCTGAATCTTAATCAATTAAGACTACAATTCCATTAATGCTTACTAAAAGCCACTAAACTCAGAGCATTTTTCTGCTGCCTAGACATGAATAAAGTTGCGATATAATTTTCAGATACAATTTTCAACAAATTAAAGATGTTCCTTCTAATTTTTTCATACTGTATTTAGACATCCTCCACACTCAAAATCAACTAGAAAAAAGAGACAATTTAACAAAAGTACATTAATTCAGAACTGCAGGATTTTTTTCTAAAAAAGGATATTAAAACTTACCAGCTGCAGAGCTCACAGTTATCCTGTAACCTTCTATCGCATCAGATGGCCTTGCCCATGACATTTGAACAGTATTTTCATTTATAATTTTAAATTTCAAGTCTGAAGGTGGATTAACTGCAAAAGATTTATATCAAGCAAACGATGTTTAAATGATGAAGAAATTAATTTCATGATAATTTTAAAATATATCAAGCAAAGCTTGCTAAGACATGTCTTTGCATAAATTTGTTTCCAACACATATAAAGGTATGCTGTTGGCGAAGGGAGATTGCAAGCTGATGAACATGACAAAACATATCGAAGAGAATATGCATTACAGAGGACAGCACAGAACATTTGTTTCTTGAATTGCCAAGTCATTCAAGAATGGCTAGCAAAATCAAGCACAATAGAAAACACATTTCAATACATGTACAATGAGTTCACAGATAATAATCACATGTGCAAACGTTTCACAGCACGATTAAAAGAATGTTCTTAACATGCTGGATGCAACTCATAAAAGCATGCCAAATCACAACCTGCTTATAACACCATGAGATCATTTGAAAATAACATAAAATCCCTTTCAGTAAAGTGTCAGAAAATATATTACTCTTTGAAAATGATCTCTGCATATTTGTATTTCACTGAATCTTTATGTGTATTATGCAGAGAAAAATGTATTATGGGAAATGCAGTAAGATTTAAGTGGGTCTTTGCTCAGTTTACATCATACCTAAATTAACCCCTTATTTCCAAAAAGCCACCTAAGTAGCTTATCTTGTATATGCTGCTAATACATAAAATGGGAAATAAGACGTTACTAAGAAATTATTGATTATTTTCTGTCACATTTGAGTAAGTGTTGTATGCAAAACCAAGTTTTCTGACTGTTTACACCACTCTGCGGTACTAATCCTGTGGTGTAAACCATCCTTACTTAGCATTTTCATGTTCCCTGTGTAGCAGGTGTACCCATACTAAGAAATGGCATTTTAACACAAAATGCCAGTATGGTATTTCACACAACGATTGTTAATTATGGAAAGACAACATCAAGATCTACTTATAGACATTTATTTACAGAATGTAGAGAGGAAAACAAGGAAAAAAGCATCAGTGATCCAAACAAATTACTGTGTATCAATCTGTGGGGACCAGCAAGAAAATGAACTGAACATAGTACAGAAAGAGTTTACATATGCTATCTCACAGCATCATGCATGTATATCTATATATACATATAGATATAGATATATAGGTATATAGATATATATATATATAGATAGATTATATATAGATATAGATATATGAAAGTCATTTTTATTATTTTAATTTAGCTTCCATAGTGGGCAAAAGCCTCCATGTACAAGGATCATTGCGCAAAGACATTACATAATAATATTTTATAATGATATTCTCATGTTAAATCAGTCATGCAAAGTCATGCAGTACTGTACTGATTCACTGTCAGTGCATGGTATGCGTACTATAAATAGATAAGATTTAACTACTATACACAAGGTTTAATAAAGGAATATGAGATTCAGCCATACTTTCCTTGACACTTCTGATTGATTGGCAAACACTGGAAACCACCTATTAGGGTTTTCTTGAAAGATGTCCACTTTTGCGTAATTAAAGATTAAAAAAAAATATTTAAGAGTGGACTAATTAGAAATCAATAAATAAATGTTAAATATGCTACAATGACAATCACATTAATATAGCTCTGCTGATTGTAAGGGCACTGTATTACTGTACTGTGCTTTGCAAGTGATTAACCCTTTAAAACCTAAATAAAAGTTTAATGCACTTGTGAGTCAGCAACTTGAGGATTTTAAAAATACTGTCTGCTTCTTAATGTATGGCCATTTCCAATGAAACAGGATAATATGGCTTGGTGTCATTGCTACCACAAGTAATAGTAGTACAAGAACAAATGTTATTTTTCTCTTATTGTCCATACACAGGCAGTGAGATTAGAATATTAATCTGCGTGCACAATTGATTCTTCATTCTACTTAAGACACTCATACTAATGCCATAAAAAAAAAATCAGTTAGGTAGCATCTAATTCATGCAACACATGTTAATAATAGCATTAACATTTTAAAGAATACCATTATAAAATATTCTTTCCAAAGCAATGGCTCAGGACAAATTTAATGCAAAGGCAGAGACAACTGACCTGAGCATGCTCTTTTTTAAAAAAAAAATGAGTACATGGGAAAAAATAGCACCACCAACCTTGAAGGTAATTTGACCTGAAGCAGCAGAGGCCTTAGGCTGTAACTGCTGAAGGACAGCAGCAGCCCAGCTTGATGAGATCCAATGACCGGATTCCAGATAAACTGAAAAGGCTAACTGTGGGGAAAAGTCTTCAACATTTTAAAAATCTGTAATCTGATTTACAAAAACTCAAATGTGACACTTAGCATTTCATCATGAATGTTACTTCTATCTTGTATGAAATTATCGGGTTATCTGTTATAAATGAAAAGATGCAACTTCTTTTTTTTTTCCATAGAAGTCCATAAGAAATGTATGTCAGGTTGCTAGATATGACACTACCCATTTCCACCACAATCGAATTCTACCTGTGCCACGTTCAAAGTAAACGGAAGGCCATCATTGAATCAAGTGTGGCTTACTTCTAAGCTAAGCATGCAGAAGATTGAAGCTTTTTCTGTTTAGCCTAGTCTTTTTCTGACTTCACTCCCACTGAATTAAGTGCCTATTGTTTTCCTCTAACAGGGCAGCTTTAGAATGTATGTCCTGGATCCAAAGAACCATGCACCTTATTTGGTGGTCCAAGAAGACTTTGGGGATTTTCCTTCTGAAACAACTTTGCTTATGCACTGCAGCAAACTGCTTTTTAAACTAGATGTTTATAAAGCAAATTTCTCTGACAGGGCATGGACACTTTTTATGTGTGAAGAAAAAAGTTGTGAAAATCCCACTAAGCATGCACAAGCCCTTGGTTATGCATAAACTAATTCTTTGGATCTTAGCCTGTTTCAGTAATCACAATAACACGGTGATTAAAGAAAGCTGTTTTCAGAATAGAGGAGGAAAACAAAACTTGCTCTAAAATGTGGTATAGTAAGCCCCCATTTTGATTATATTATTCTCACTGCCATGAGACTTTCAAGCAATTGAAGCTCAACAACGAAAGCTAAATTTTACCACAATCTTGGAGAAAAGGAATATACTGCATATATATACATTTTGTTTGAGAGCCGATTTTATTATTTATCTGTACTCTTCAGAGTATGCATGCATTTTCTTCTCAGGTATCTACATAAAATATGTTGTTTAACAGCCCAGAAGAGGATTTCTGAATCTCCTAATAGATCGTCCCATATAGTACCCAGAATATTGCAGCACAAAGTAAAAATATGGATATATATTAATTAAGGTGTATTAATTATCTTCCTCCACCTATTACCATTTCAGCCAAACTAAAAGACCTAATAGTTATTATGTAACCTGTTCAGACAATTGTTTTATTAGAACTAAAAAGAAAATGCATTCCATTTTTTTAGATTGCCTATCTGCAATTATTTTGATTAATAAATACAGTTGAATAAGATGTTAACAGATTTAACATTTAATTTAATAGATGTTAACAGTTGTTCTATAATATGGTCTGTGCAAAGTAAACAGTGAGGTTCAAAAATAATACAAAAGGAGACTAGACTCAAATTACAAGTTCTGTTCCTGTAACACAAAATTCAGTGGACTGGGCTCATTGTCTTGTGTATGTGTGTTAATTCTGCTATTTCTTAGCATTTCATTTTATATGGGACTATAATACTCCCATACATTTTAAAATATATTTTATTGCTTCTAACTTAAATTTAAAATAAATAGAATATGTCACTCAGGCAGGATATGTAGATTGGATATGTCCATATCTATTGCTGGTTTCTGGGTCATTTTTCAGTATATTTAAATTTGAAATGTAAGCTATTGTAAGGGAAACCCATATTAAGTGGAGAAAAAGCAAACCTAAATGCCGTGACTGGGGTGACCCTTGAAGACTGTCCCCCTCCTCATTTTTAAAAAAATAAAAGTAGAAGAAAAAAACCTGACCACCATTCATAAAGGAGTTTCAGGAGGTAGTTCCATGAAAATCAGTGGGACATAAAACAAAGATACTTGTTTAGATGTGGATTTATTATAATTGCTTCGGCCTAAAAGATGTCATCCTTCCAGACATTTCATGAAAACTAATGAAACTACTCAAAGAAAAGAAACAAAATGACCTTACTAGACCAAGACCTAAAGTCCTGCAGTCATAAATGGCAAAATGTACAATCAAATTAGATATTTGGAAATTAGAGATCATAAAGAATGTATTACATCGTAAGGGAGGAAACAGCCAATAAAGATGGACGCGTAATTCATAATAGTGCTCTTTTGGGAAAGTTACCAGATTTTTCTTCCCAGTATCTGGGACTAAGACCAGACAAAACAAGAGATACGGCAGTGGCACCAAGATTATGATATATTATAACCAAATATTTTACAAATGAAATATGAGAAATGAGGATGGAACAGCAGTAATTCAAAAGACAGAGAACAATTTGGAACATGATTTAATATATAGAAAAATGTAAAAAGAAAACACCTACTTTAAACAGACACAGAGAAAGATGATTACAGCATAGTAAAGTTTAATTTGTAAAACTAAAAAGAATACCTTTGCTAAATTCTTCATAAGACTATTTATTTTAAAAAATAGTTACCAGTGCTGAGTACCTGTTCTACTGGTTTGACTGGCATGTAGGCAAGTTGAAAGAGAGGTCAAACTTATTCTTATCATTCTTCAGCCCTCTTTAGCTCAATCCTCAACCCAATCAGGATTCTGAACCACTAGGAGCATAAAACAGATTCCCTCTGGTCTTCAAACTTTCTCCTCTCTCCAGACAGGGGCCATATGTGACTGTGGTGGCAAAGCCAGTAGCTGTCATCCTATTCCTTTTCTATATTTCATTGCAATCACAATGAAATAACACCTAGAAACAGCTGATCTTTGGTCTCTTGGTTATCTTTATTCCTTACACTAAATAATAAATCAATTTCTGAGTTGGATTTCTTCATATTTTCTATAAAATGGCACATGC